TCTGAGTTCACAAATTGAGACACCTTTGATTATCTGGAATTGAGGGGGTTTCATTTAAACAGTAAACCATAATATTTTTAATAAAAATTTATCAAGTAACCCAAAATACCTTAACTTTTATGTATCGTTGTGATGACCAAATAGGTCATTCTGAGTTCTAGCACTTACTTCGGTGTTCCGAGACCTCAATTAGTTTCTTGTAGTATTTCTCAATTTGCGTGCGTAGTCCGTATATTTTTCCGGAAAGATTTTATGTGAAAAATTGATGAAAATATAAATTTTAACTTTAAAAATGATTTGAGTTAACGACAGTCAACATTTTGTGTAAACGACTCTGGATCGGTATTTTGACGATCCCGATTGGTCTGTACCGTGATTTGGACTTGAGCGTATGCCCGAAATTGAATTCGGAAGTCCCTAACTTGATTTGACGTGATTTGTTGAAAACTATTAACTTGAAGGTTTAAATATTTCCTAAGTTTGACCTTAGGTTGACTTTGTTGCTATCAGGTTTGGATTTCGATTTCGGAACTTTGTATAGGTTCATTTATCTATTAAAAATTTATCTGCAAAATTTGGTGCAAAATGGAGTTGATTTGATAGGATTCGGACCTCGGTTGTGAATCTATAAGTTCTTGGCTTTCTTTAAAAATTTCATGCATTTTGATGTCCGATTCGTAGTTGAAGATATTATTTTGATCATGCGAGCGAGTTCGTATGATGTTGTTACACTTGTGTGCATGTTTGGTTTGGAGTCCGAGGGGCTCGGGTGAGTTTCGGATAGGCTACGAACCATTTGAACTTGAAAAATTCTGATTTTTTTACTGTTACTGGTGTCTGAGGCTTTGTGCTTCGCGATCATGAAGGTACTCTCGCGATCGCGAAGGGTAATCTGGGCCGTGGAGGAATTCCTTCATTGTGAATGCGAGGAGCTGATCGCGAACGCTAAGTAATGGAGGGTTTACCCTTCGCAAACGCGACCTTCCTCTCGCGAGCGCGTAAGGTTATGGGGCCTGGGAAGGGAGCTGTGTGATGTTCTACACGAATGAGATCCTAGGACCGCAAACGCGAAGGCCATGGAGAGATGCCATCGCGAACGTAAAGGCTAGTTGGGGCGCAGTGCTTCACGATCGCGTCAGTTCCTTCGCAAACGCGAAGAAGACCTGACGCTAATTTAAAACATCCCAAAGTCGACATTTATCCCATTTCTCAACATTTTCAAGTTTGAGCTCGGCCTAAAGACAATTTTGAAGAGATTTTCTATGCCAACTTCATATGTTAGTAGATTTTAACTTGTTTCCTTACATTTTCATAAACACCCATTGATTTTAATCTTTAATCCAAGATTTTTAATGATAGAAATTAGGGATTTAGGTAGAAATTGGGAATTTTGAGAAATTGAGATTTAGACTTCAAATTGAGGTCGGATTTTAAAACTAATCACATAACCAGGCTCGGGGGATGAATGGATAATTGAATTTTGGTCTGAATCTCGGGTTTTGACCAAGCGAGCCCGGGGTTGACTTTTGTTGACTTTTTTTCAAAAACATTAAAGATTGAATCTTTGAAGTATATTTGATTAGATTTGATTGGTTTGGAGGCTCATTCTAGAGGAAAGGCCACGGTTGAGCATTGATTTGGTTGCTGGGTGAGGTAAGTGTCGTGGTTAACCTTGACTTGAGGGATTAGGATTTTGTTGGCCTTTTTGCTACGTGATTTATGTGTGGAGACAACATATATGTGAGGTGATGAGTACCTATGCGTTGTCATTAGGTTAAAGCATGCGGATGCAAATTATTTCTTTATATTATATTATTTCGTTAATTATGTGATCCATGCTTAGGTTAGATTGTTATTTCTTTAATTATTCGTTTCGTATTTATTGTTTATTCTAAAAATGTTGAATATTTTGAAAGTTGAAGTTTGATATCATGACACCATATTTGAAGTTAAATTATTCCCTGCATTGATCATTATTCGGATTTGTATTATTACATAGTGAAAACAAGAATAAAAGCACGAATGGTGATACCGTGCCATTTCATTCATATTATTACATGGCGAGGAGAAGAGAGCACGAAGGATGATGCCGTGCCATTTTTATATCATTGAGTTATATGATTTCCAGTTTTGGTGATTTACTTTGTTATATCGTTGCTTAATTTGGAAGATTTTATTTCGTGATTTCATACTTGCCGTATTTATTATATCTTCCCCTTTTCGCATGTCCCCTCCCAGTTAGTATTTTATCATTCTTCTTCTTATTTTGCTGCTTTATATACACTTGTACATGTTTATTTATGTAGATATCTTGTTATAGCCTCGTCGCTACCTCGTCGAGGTTAGGCTCGATACTTACGGAGTATATTGGATCGATTATACTCATGCTACACTTCTGCACTTCTTGTGCAGATGCTAGTATTGGTCCCAGTGGTGCTTGAGGTTTGTCAGCTCGGATCATTTTCATACGAAGACTTGAGGTAAATTTGTTAGCGTTAGCAGACCTTGGAAGTCCCCTTCCATTTCCCACTTTTACTATTTATCTCCTTCAAACACTTGTATTTATTTGCAGACTATGTTTGTAGACTTCTAGTTTCCCGTGTACTTGTGACTCCGGACTTTTGGGAGTAGTTATTATCACGTGGTTTATATTAGTACTGTATTATATTTGACATTCATTTCTCGTTGAATATTATTATTTTATTTTAACTATCAAAATTGGTAAATTTCTTATTTCACATCGGTTTGCCTAGCAAATGAATATTAGGCAGCATCGCGGTTCCGATATTGGGATTTTGGATTGGACAGTCGTCATCAAGTTCAAAACTAATTAATAAAAGTTTTACTGCATTTCTAATTAGCAATTTAATAAATAACGCACTCAATAAAAGAAAATCTTATTAGTATAAAGTATTCAGACTATCCATTAAAGAGGAGGGAATATGAAGCACCGAGTTTAGGGGAATGGAACCCACAGCTGGTTTTATTGTAGTAATAAACTCGTAATTAATGGTTTTTAAAAATGTAGGGAAATAAGTGGCTCAGTAGGTAAATGAGGAATAATAATTGCACTAAAAGGTCTTAACTTATCATATTAATGCGTGAAGACCCCACAAATATAAAAGCCAAAGAAAAGTAGGAACCAGCCCCCCACCCCTCCTCACTCACTCCCCAGGCCCAGGCCCAGGCCCAGGCCCTGAGCAAAGGCACACTACTTTGTGCAGAAAACAGAGACAGCATAGCAGTAAAACCCTTCTTCCCCTACGCGCCTCATTCCCACGCTCTTGCACGACCTCTCCGACTTGTAAGTGTACAGGTAGCTCTGGGCCCAATTAGATTAAAATTTTAAAATAAGACAAATCAAAGTAGTCACTTATCGACAAAACTGTTTGAAAATCTCCCTAATCACATGTGGTGTGGATAGCTACAAGACAACCTTAGACTTTTGTACGAGAAGCATTAACAATTAGAAGTGTTTTATATTTGTGCTAAGTCTTATCAAAATTTCAATTTTCAAAGTAGAGATGGAAGAGCATCTTGCTACTAATACGTGAATTTGTAATTTTTTAATTCCCAATTTGATATAGTATGATATTTGTTCTGATGCTCAATTAATTTGAATTTACAACGAGAAGATTTAATTTAGTGGTAAAGCATTATCCTACCAAAAAACGATTCCATTCTTATAATTTAAACTCGAGATCTCTGATTAAAGATGAATGTGTACTTATTATTTTGTCGTAATCTTTGATGATAAATATACAATTACTAATATAAAATAAATTAAGAAAGAAGATGATATAATCAGTAAAATTAGATAAGTAAATAAATCTAAAAAGTGCTACTAACATTTATGAACACTGAGCTTGAATAACATATATTCTAATTGCGCATGTGTGTACGCACATAAAATTTATAACGTTATGCCACTATAAGAATATGGTTTAAAGTAATTTTACATTTTGTACTACGCATATTACTAATGTATCCCAGCTCCATTATAATGTTACTATTTAAACGGCTAAACAACAAGCAATAAATGCGAACAAAGTTGAGAGTATTTATATTTAAATAAGATATTTATGAACAAAGTAGTAAAATAAGTAGAGTACTTATTAATTTTAACTTTTAAGTAAGAGGTGATTTAGGTGGAGTCATAAATAAGAAATTCAACTGAAATGGAGTAATAAATAAAGTAATGGCAGGTAGTTTGTTGTGTTGTGCGCGTGGTTAACAACTTAACATGTTAAGAATGTCACAACGGAACAGCATCGGTCTTCCCAGCTTCCTTTCTCTCTGTTTCTCTCACACACACACACACTGGGTACTGTGAAGTGTATTTATTAAAAAAGCTGCTCTTCGGCGGTCAGAATATAAAATCCACCTAACAGTTTTTTTTTTGTGTAAAACACTCATTTTCCAAAATTAATCTCTTTTTATCTCTCTCTTTTCTGTATCCCCCCCTGAAAACTCAATCCATCCGTGCCCTAGATCCACAACCATGCTTTCTCCTCCACCCAACTTCTCATACACACTCTACGACACTCCAACATTTCATTTCTAGCTCTTTTCTTTTGAACCCATTTGCACAATTTTAGTGGCTGTACATTTATACTCTTCTGTATTGAACTGTTTTCTTAGTTTTCTTTGGTTCTTTGAATCATTTTGTAGACTTGTATTATGTGGGAAGTAGCGTTTTCTTGAAAATGAGGAGGTTTATTGGCTAAAAGATTTGATTTTGGAAGGTGGGGTTGCTTTAATTCTGATAATTAGTTGTTCTGTAGTAATTGTAAAGTGTGTTTTGTTGAAAAGTAAGGAGGTTTATTGGTGAAAAGATGTGATTTTGGGAGGCGGGGTTACTTTAATTTTGCTAATTGGTTGGTCCCTAGTAATTGGAAAGCGAGTTTTGTTGAAATTGAGGAGGTTTATTAGTGAAAAGATGTGATTTTGGGAGGTGGGGTTGAAGTGTTTGGTGCTTTTTAGAGTGGTAAGTATTTGAGATGGGTTGTGTTTGCGGTAAGCCCTCTGCCATTGAAGACAGTAGAGATAGTCCAAGGGAGAGATTGTCGAGTAAAAGTGCTGCAAGTTTGAGAGGGCCAAGGGCTGGTTCATCAAGACGAGAGGAATCAGCTTATAGGGTTAAAGATCGTTTGGATAGCATTGATGGGAAGGCAATGCTAATTGATAAACAAGTAAATGGTTCAGTAAGATTGCAGAGTGAGAATTATGAGAGGAAAAGGGAAAAGCAAGAGTTTATTGTTGCTACGCATCATCCTGGAATTGGGATATTACCAAAAGGGAGTGAAGGGGAACAGGTTGCTGCTGGATGGCCACCTTGGCTTGCTGCTGTTGCCGGTGAAGCTATCAGAGGATGGGTGCCGAGACGAGCTGATTCTTTTGAGAAGCTGGATAAAGTATGCACCTTTAATTTTGTGTCTCTGACTTTTCATTCTACTGTAGAAACTCCAAGCATTTCATGAGAATTGTCACATAATTGTCTCTTTCTCCCTCCCCCACATGAGTGAATCTTTACTTTCTGATAATTCATGTACTAGTGTTGTGCAAAATCCGAGAAAGGGGAAATGTTCCACTTCAGCACTGAGTTGGAGCTGGAAGATTTTGGGTGCATGGTATAGCCAATATCAAGTTTATTCTGATATAAATCTAGGAAAATGGGCAAGAAATTAATTTGTTTTTCCAATATGGTAATCCTACCCACTTTTGTCCATTTGGTGGTTCAAGCCTCAGCTTCATAGTTGGAGGCTTAGGGCTTTTCCCATTGAGCTATTCCTCAGCTGTCAAGGAACATCGTTAATTTAGACATATACTTCATTATGTGAGTTAGATATCTTGTCTAAGTTCCAATAGAAATAAAGGGTTACGGTAGGTTGACATTCATTGTTAAAATTGTCATAATACCACAAATCAAATGTTGAGTTCATTAGGATGTTCTCTCTTAGGTATGCAGTACATCGCTACCCATGTGTGGTGTTGAATGGCAAGGAATATAATTGGAATGTAATTTCCCCAAATAAAGCAGAATAAATGTACACATTAATTTAGCAGTAAATGTTTAATTGATTTGTACATGTGTCTTTTCTTTTTCCGTGAACAAGTACATCTATTCGTAATGTTTGGATAGGCCTGAACAAGTAAATGTTCAGCAATTCGCTACAGCCCAATTACAGAACACGGCTGTGCAGGCCGGATTTGGCTGATTCAGTTGTTTCAGATATCATGAACAACTCACCTCTTCTTCTTTTAGGGGTCGTTTGGTATGAGGTATAAGAAGGTATAGGGGTGGTATAAAAATTTAATACCACCTTAATACTCTGTTTGGTTAGCAAACCAGGTATAAGTTATCCCGGTGTTAATTTTAACACCGGGATAACTTATACCTTATAGAGGGTGGGGTAATTAGCACCGGTATAACTTATACATTCTTCTTAGAAATTATGCAATTGTCATTCTTAATACAACATACCAAACAATGAATAAACAACAATCCCAGCATAAC